ACTTACCAAGGCATTATTCACCAGACTACTTGTCCATACACCCCTCAACAGAACGGTGTAGCAGAAAGGAAAAATAGGCATCTTATTAAGACTGCTCGTACTCTTCTCCTTGAATCCCGTGTTCCGCTGCGTTTTTGGGGAGATGCAGTTCTTAGATCTTGTTATTTAATAAATAGAATGCCTTCATCTTCTATTCAAAATCAGGTTCCACATTCCATATTGTTTCCTGAGTCACATCTCTATCCTATCCCCCTCGTGTCTTTGGAAGCACATGTTTTGTTCATAACTTATCCCTAGGGAAAGATAAATTAGCCCCTCGTGCCCTCAAATGTGTCTTTCTTGGTTACTCTCGAGTTCAAAAAGGGTATCATTGTTATTCACATGATCTTCATCGTTACCTTATGTCCGCTGATGTTACATTCTTTGAGTCTCAGCCTTACTATACGTCTTCTGATCATCCTGATGTATTTATGGTCTTACCCATACCTCAGGTTTTACATGTACCAACATTTGAGGAATCTATGGTTACTTCTACATCTCCAGTTGTAGTGCCACCACTCCTAACTTATCATCGCCGTCCGCGTCCAGTGCTAGTCCCAGATGATTCATGTCATGCACCAGACCCTGCTTGTATTGCGGACTTGCCTCCTCCTAGCCAACCGCTTGCACTTAAAAAAGGTATACGATCCACTCGAAATACTAACCCTCATTATACCTTCTTGAGTTATCATTGTCTATCATCACCCCATTATGCCTTTGTATAGTCTTTGTCCTCTATCTCCATTCCTAAGACTACAGGTGAAACACTTTCTCATTCTGGATGGAGGCAGGCTATGGTTGATGAGATGTCTGCTTTGCATAAGAGTGGTACTTGGGAGCTTGTCTCTCTTCCTGCAGGTAAATCTACTGTTGGTTGTCGTTGGGTTTATGCAGTCAAAATTGGTCCAAACGGTCAGGTTGATCGGCTTAAGGCTCGCCTTGTTGCCAAAGGGTATACTCAGATATTTGGGCTAGATTATAGTGACACTTTCGCCCCTGTGGCTAAAATAGCATATGTCCGTCTTTTTCTATCTATGGCTGTCGTTCGTCATTGGCCTCTTCATCAGTTGGACATTAAGAATGCTTTTTTGCATGGTGATCTTGAGGAGGAAGTCTATATGGAGCAACCACCTAGTTTTGTTGCTCAGGGGGATTCTAGTTGCCTTGTATGTCGATTGCGTAAGTCACTCTATGGTCTGAAACAATCTCCTAGAGCTTGGTTTGGGAAGTTCAGCACAATTTTTCAACAATTTGGCATGACTCGTAGTGGAGCTGATCACTCTGTGTTTTATTAGCATTCTGCACCAAATCGGTGTATCTATTTGGTTGTGTACGTTGATGATATTGTTATCACTGGTAATGATCAAGATGGTATCACTAAATTGAAGCAGCATCTCTTTAAGCACTTCCAGACTAAAGACCTTGGCAGATTGAAGTATTTTCTAGGTATTGAGGTTGCTCAGTCTAGATCAGGTATTGTTATTTCTCAACGCAAGTATGCCTTAGACATTCTGAGGAGACGGGAATGATGGGATGTAGACCTATTGACACTCATATGGATCCAAATGTTAAACTCATTGCAGGACAGGGGGAGCCACTTAGTAATCCCGAAAGGTATAGACGACTCGTTGGAAAATTGAATTATCTTACAGTAACTAGACCTGACATCTCTTTTCCTGTGAGTGTTGTAAGTCAGTTTATGACTTCCCCTTGTAATAGTCATTGGGAAGCAATTGTTCGTATCCTGCGATATATAAAGTCAGCTCCTGGTAAAGGACTACTCTATGAGGATCAAGGCTATAAGCATATCATTGGATATACAGACGCTGATTGGGCAGGATCACCCTCTGATAGACGTTCGACATCTAGATATTGTGTTTTAGTAGGAGGTAATTTGGTGTCGTGGAAGAGTAAGAAACAAAGTGTGGTTGCTTGATCTGGTGCAGAATCAGAATATCGAGCAATGGCGGCAGCAACTTGTGAGCTAGTTTGGATCAAACAGTTGCTAGGAGAACTAAAATTTGGCGAAATTGATCAGATGGAACTTGTGTGTGACAATCAAGCAGCTCTTCATATCGCATCAAATCCAGTGTTTCATGAAAGGACTAAGCACATTGAGATTGACTGTCACTTTGTCAGATAAAAGATACTCTCAGGAGATATTGTTACAAAATTTGTGAAGTGAAATGATCAGCTTGCAAATATCTTCACCAAGTCCCTCACAAGTCCTGGTATTAATTACATCTGTAACAAGCTAGGTACATATGATTTGTATGCACCAGCTTGAGGGGGAGTGTTAGAATAGAAATATGTATATATTCCTACTTAGAATAGGAAGAAGAATAGGAATAGGAATCCTAGTTAGAAAAGGATTTCAATGTATATGTATTGTCTATAAATTGGGTCTCAATGTAACAATTTAGATACACAATTCAATATTATTTTTCCCATATATTTCTCACAGAGATCAATTAGGAATTGGTGGCCTTTCCTTAGGAATCATACTACTATAACAGTACACAATGGTATCAAGACATGATTCTGGAAAGATAATGGCTTGGTAATCAAAACTTGTCAGAGATCTTCCCTGACATCTTTGACTTAGCACTACATAAAGACAGAACAGTGGCTGATATGTGGTCTCCCCAAGGTTGGGATCTATCTCTCAGAAGGAATTTAAATAACTGGGAAGTTTGTAGATTAGTTGAGTTCTTTAAAAGGTTGGAATCATTTCAAGGTTTGAAGGAAGGGGAGGACTGCTTACGGTGGACAGAGCACAACAAAGGAACATACAAAGTGAGTTCAGGTTATAAGGTCATAAATAGGGCTCCTTTAACCCTCAATTAGCCTTGGAGACAAATCTGGAAAGCCAAAATTCCACTCAAGGTGGCATGCTTCACTTGGCTGCTAGCAAAGGAGGCAGTACTAACACATGAGAATCTGAGGAAACGAAACAACATTCTGGTGACACATAGTTGTTTATGTGGGGAAGCAGCTGAGACAGTTAGGCATTTGTTCTTACATTGCAAAATCACTGATCAACTGTGGAAGATTTTCATCAATCTCAGAGGCATTCAATGGACGATGCCTAGCAAGATTGTTGACACTCTCTCAAGTTGGGAGGAAGCAGGAATTGAGGCAAAGAACAAAAAATATTGGAGGACCATTCCAGCATGCATCTGGTGGACCATTTGGAGAGAAAGGAATGCTAGAAGCTTTGAGGATAGAAGCAGATCCCTACAAATGATCAAAACAGATTGTATATTGTTATTATGTTTTTGGTGTAAAAAGAGTTCCCCTGTAGATGCAGAAGCAATCCTAGAAGTATTAGAATCATGCTAGGCTTGCTGTTTTCTGTCCCTAGATTTTCATACTTTTTTGTAAAAGGGCTTTCAGTACTACATAAGTACTGGTTTATAATACAAATCGTTACCTTCTAAAAGAAAAAGGTACTAGATACTCAATTGATGACTGTGATCCTGAGGCTCTTTTGGTTCCAGTAATGCATCAACACTGTTGACATGAAAAGTATGGATCTTAAGACCCACTTGAACATGTCTATGCCTTATTATTCATGGGTCACTGTGAGTGTCAACTTTGGAACACAATTTGTTGAGTTAAAAAATGTTTTGATCAATGAGGGTATTAAGAAGGATATTAAAAATAACTTGTTTTGGTCGCTTTTTAACCTTGAACAAAGATATGGAGCTACAACTCCCACTGAAGCTGATGTGTAGCCTTCTTCTTCACGGAGTCTTTTGTGAAAAGAAATAGTAGATTTGGTGTGGTTTCAGTGACTTGTGTATTTGTTTTGGGATCAATGTATTCGTTATCATGATTGGACTCTTATGTCATTCTCTACATGCGAATTTGGTTGATATAGTGGAGAAGTCTATTGAGCTCATTTAGAAGAGAAATGATCCAAAGCTGACAAAAAGAGTAAAACGATGGTAGTGAGCGGTTTGGTTCTTGCATAATATATTGTGCAAAAGATACAAAAAAAGATAGAAACCAACCGGTAAAAGATGGCATCAAATAAAAATATATTCGATTCATATTCATGGAATCAAATAAGCTTCAATCTTACTATTGAATATCTTTTAAAAGAATTGAATCCATCCAAGATCCAATAGCAAGGTGATCTCCTTATACTCTTGGATGAATTCAGTTCTTCTAAATGATATTCAATAGAAAGATTGAAGCGCATTCGACCCCATGGATATGAAACAAATACATTTTTATTCGACACCACTTTTAACCAGTTGATGATTATCTTTTGCACATAATATGCTATGCAACAACCAAACCACGCTCACTGCCACCTTTTGTTTTTTCATCATCCTTGGATTCTTTATCCTTTCAATGAGTGCAATAGACTTCCCCACTTATCAACCAAATTTGCACCCTCTTTTTCCAAAATTTTTGCCAATTGTTGACTAAGGGGTGCAAGGGAGGTAGAGTGACATTGGAGTCTAGTCATGACAATGAATTCGTTAATGTCAAAACAAATAGGCAAACCTTTAATCATCCTAGATCTTCTTTTTCGTTTCAGAGAAGATTCAGCGAAGAAAAATGCTATGCATCAACTTCAATGGAAGGAGTTGTAGCTCTACATCTTTTTTTTAGTTCAAAAAGTGACTAAAATAAGTTTTTCTAAATTTCTTGTCAACACCCTCACTGATCAAAACCTCTATAAACTCAACAAACTGAGTTCTAAGCAGACTCTCGCAGTGACCCTTGAATCATAAGGCCCAGACATGTTTAAGTGGGGTCTTAAACCCATACTTTTTGATGTCAATGATCTTTACATATTTACTGGAAGCAAAAGAGACTCAGGATCACTATTATCTTTGATGATTGCCCGTAGAATTCTTCTTGTTCTTCAGCTGAATCCTCACTTGTTCTATGCTCAATGCTTTCTTCTCTAACTTTGATTACCACCTATGTCATCTGTTTTCATCTTCACCTGACCACTCAGTTGCAAACCCACCACTTTTTTTTCTTCACCTGATTGCTCATTACTACTCTCATGTGTTTCTTTTTCACCAATCAACTGCTCATTTCTTAAAGGCATCACAATTTCCAAAGGTACATGACCAAGAGCCTTAGTTGCTTGTTCATCTCTGTTTGCTTTCTTAGCTAGCTTTCCAAGGCAAAAGACCTCGGGATCACTATTATTTACATTTCCAAAGGTACATTTGCTCAATTCCTATTTTACATTATAATGATGTGATATTTTCTTGCAAAGAACCTTGGTTTAAAGAAAACCCGGGACTGAGCCAATATATTTTTTAAAACTACAATTACACATTTACTCAGTCCCAAGTTCTGATCATTCAATAGAATATAATAAATTCAAATAATGCACAAACCAGATTATAACAAAAATCAAATAATGTGACCAACAAAAGTATGAAAACATGGAGCACAAAGGACGGTTTTCAGGACCTCGCAAGCAATTTCCTCTGTACGGATATTTCAAGTCTCTGTAGAGTCAATCCTGACACGAGAGATGCCGAAGCTGGTTTGAAAGATGTTTGCAAGTTTAGCAGTGTGAGGTGCTCTAGTGTGTAATCGGAGAACTTTTTGAGGTAAGAGTAACTTTGGAATCAACCAATCTCAAAAAAAAGAAGAGGAACTTTGGAATCATGGCAATTCTGATAATGAAGAGTGTCAGTAGATGATGATATTATGTTTTGATGCATCTGTAAAGTTTGGTTCATATTTTCTTTCCTGTGATGGTATTACTATATATTAGTTTCCCTTTGTCTCTGTAAAGAATATGTTTGCGTGAATGACTAAGTGAACTAAAGTTGTATCTGCATATTTTCTTGAATGTAGAGTTTTAACCCTATCTGTGAACCTGGTGATGATTGGTCCTGCAGATGTGATGAATGCTTAAGTTGACAAGAAGTTGAGCAAACATTCTTTATAGTCAAGCTACTAAGAAGCCTGGTTATAGTTTCACATGTCTGACAAAAGGTACAGATGCATTCACTGTTTCATGTGACTTATCTGCCGCTGGGGATGATGATTTAACAGAGTCATAAGTTAGAGCATTCCTGGATGTGAAAAGGTAGTTATTTCGTCAATGTGTATTATCTATTCATAATTTCACCAGCAATGAAACTAAAATGACTTGGACTTTCAGACCAATTGTTCTTCTATAAGGGGGAAATACTGTTGCTTGTGTAGTGTTTCACATTGCTGAACAGCCCTGAACTTCTCTTGGCGGTAGACCTGAAGAAGTTACAAGCACCATTATGTGGAGAATTCTACATTAATTGAATGCCTCAACCGGTAAGTCTACCAACAATAGCTAAACCTTCATCCTAATTAGTTTGGTGCGCTTATGTGAATCCTCTACTTACATTGTGTTCTATTCTTTTGCTAAATTGCATGAATTCAAGAGATTATAGGTCTATTTAGATAACTTTCCAACATGTATCTTAGGTTGTGCGTAATGCAAGTTATTTACCCAGAATACAACTCCATTAGCATCTAGCATCAGCTTGAAAGATCCCAAAACTCAACATTATGTGCAATGACGTAGATAGCTCAGAGCCACTGACTGAACTTTAATCCATTTCTTACCATTTAATCTCTGTCTTTACTCTCTTCTATTCTTGCATAATGATTTCTTGAAGGGTGCTAGTGTTCATCAGAGTTCTTATTAATTTTAATTAGTTCTCATAATCTTATCTTATCATGTAATAGGGTTGATAATGATTGCAAGGAGTGATCAGAATTGTACTTACAACTGTCATGAGTAATCGATTGTGTTTTGTGATCAGTGATTTTCTGTGTTTGGTATCAAAATGCGATATTTGCTGATTGCACTCATTTCTTTGACCTTTTATTCATCTGCTATCATAAATTGACTGATTGAATTTAAAAACTTATCCATCCTGTTAGCTCCTTCCCTGAGATTTCATTTGCATTTTTTATTTTTATTTTTTTGATGACAAGGAAAACCCATTGCCGCTAGCTACCCTTTGGGTGCGCATAGGGTAAGACCATTGCAAACCACACAGAAGAGGTAACCCGCACTAGGCAAGCACGGTGTGACGAGCTCGACCCAAAAGACAAACCCTTTGCTTTCGCTGGCAAGAGGTTTTGAACTTGAGACCTACAACATGGAAGTCCCAAGGCCAAACCACTGGGCAACCCCGAAGGGTAATTTTATTTGCATTTTGCAGAAGCAACTTCCTTGATGTGAACTGTTTGATGGAGAAAGAAACTCCCTTCTTTCATCAACTGAACAGGATTGACAAACATTATCCTCGTCTTAGCAAGTTGTTACTGATGATGACTCTTTTTTAATCGAGAAATTCCATCAACTAAACAATTCTGGCAGATGCCGTTCTGGCATTTTGTTTTCTTTGATGTCACTCTATTGTTCTCATTTTCCCTGAATACTTCTCCAACCATATGCTCCCGCACTCACATTTGACGACATGCACTTTTGACGTATGAAGTTTCTAAGGTTCAAGATTTCATATTGCAGAGATCATGCGTCAGGCAGCAAACCTCCAGAGGATCCACACTACAAGAGAAGTGTGAATTACATGAGGATTGTCCTGGGGATTAGTATGAAAATTTGCGGGAAAATAAGTTTCCTACGAATTTTCATACTAATCCCCAGGAAAATCCCTATGTAATTCACACTTTTCTTGTAGTGCCAGTTCTAAATTGATGCAAAAATAGATCAAGGTTTGCATCTTCGGTGAGATAAATGTATGTATGTACGCACGCACTTCTGTATTATTTTTAGTCTTGTAGCGTGAGTATAATGTTCTGATGTTTCTCTCATTTTTTGATATGAGATTAGCCTAAAATGTCTTGCATATTTGAAAGTTTACCACCCTAGAAGCCTACAAGTTCTTCCTTAACCAACTTTTGTTACCCTCTTATATTTCATGAGTTTTACATTACATAAACCTCTTTAGTAACTTGAACTCCTCATTGAGGTTTGCCTCACTATTACACTGTTGGAGTTCGTTTTTGATAAGAGCTATCCATTTCCTTCGAATAATTGATGGATGAGAGATTTTGAAAGGAACTCCAACATTTTTCATTAGTAGTATTCATATTTTCCAGTACAGTAGTTGGGGTTGGTACTTTGAGCTTGAGAGTAGTTGTTTCAATGATATGACTGGAAATCTTGATAAACTATAGTTGACATGTCGAATAATAAAATATGATAGTAAAAAAGATGAAAAAATGTTGAAATTTTGTGGAATTCTAGAGATGAAGAAAGAATTTTGAAATATGATTTTTTTTTTTTGCCAGAGTTTAGTTTTTTTCTTGTACTTTGTTTTTGTGAAGGACAAACAAAGAATGAAAGAAAGTGAGGGGTTTGGTCTTGAATTTGTAGTGCTCAAAAGTACCCCATGGGTGTGTATTGTGGGGGTGGGGTGGGGGGTAAGGGTAGGGTTTTTTTTTTTTGCACCACTTGAATTGTACAACTGTTAATTGATGCCATACACTTTAAAAAAATAAAAAATTTCAAATGAATGAAAAATATTCTAGTGTACTATTTCATTTAATTGATTTATATTCCCTCCGTTTATTTTCGTTGGTTGATTATACTAAAAATAGTTATTTGTCCAGTTTAGAAGTTAATTATTAAGTTTTAAATTTGTCCTTATTATCACAAATTTATTACTCTCCTTCTGTTTACTTGTTCGTTATTGAAATGACACATTCAAAGAAATAAATAAAATGAAAATGTTATTATATCACCTTTTTAATATAATAAATAAATGCTCTAGTAAAAACTATAATTATATATATATATATATAAAGAGAACTCTATGCCCGCCTACATGGTGCCACCACAAACAAGAATTCTCTTTTAATTTATTTATTAACAAAACTAGCATTCCCCTTTCATGAAAAGTTGTGACTTTAATGAAAAGTTACGACTTTTCTGAAAAGTTGTAACTTGTATGAAAAGTAGTGACTTTTATGAAGAGTTGCAACTTTTATGAAAAAATATGACTTTTATGAAATGTTGTGATCTTTCTGAAGAGTTGTAACTTTTCCAATGAGTTGTGACCCTTTCGACAAGGCACAATAAGAATTTGTTCACACTACCATTTGTTGTCTATAAATAGAGGGACTTCCTGTCACCATTATTTGTAGGTTTTTTTTCTTGCTATACGGTAGTCAAATTCAAATTCATTAATTAAGCTTCTTATGAAGTTTGTTTCATTCTTCAAAGTTTTCTTTCTCCAATTTCATGGAGTTTAATCTTTACTATAAGTCATAGTGATTCATGTAACAATGGCAATTCCTTTTTTCTATCTTGGTGACTTTCTTTTACCTCTGTTAAAAAATATTAGCAATGATGATTGAAAATTGATCTTCTCTTTTGTCCCTTTCTACAAGTTTCTTCATATAAACAATGAAAATTGATTTTGATTGCAATGCGACATTACTATCTCTTGCACCTCCCTCCCCGCCCACAACTCATAACACTTTTAAAATGGTTGAATTCATTACATTTGGTTCTTTAGTAAACAAATCTTTTATTTCTACCACTATTATTTGTAGGTTTTTTTTGCAATAAGACAGTCAAATACATATACATTTATTAAGCTTCTTATTCTTATGAAGTGTGTTCCATTTCTCAAAGCTTTCTTCCTCCTATTTTATGAAGCTTAATTTTTTACCGTAAGTCATAGTGATTCATGTATCCCTTGCAATTTCTTTTTTCTATTTTTGTAACTTTTTTTTTGAACTTTGTTAAAAATTTCAGTGAGGATGATTGAAAATTTATCTTCTCTTTTGTCCCTTTTTACAGGTTTCTTCATATACTTTTTGGGAAAATTGCTTGTGGATTGTGTGGCACCACCACAAACAAGACTTTTATGGAACGTTGTGACCTTTCCGAAAAGTTGTAACTTTTCCAATGAGTTGCGACCCTTTCGACAAGGCACAATAAGAATTTGTTCACACTACCATTTATTGTCTATAAATAGAGAGGTTTCCTGTCACTATTATTTGTAGGGTTTTTCTCCCGCTATAGGGTAGTCAAATTCAAATTCATTAATTAAGCTTCTTATGAAGTTTGTTTCATTCTTCAAAGCTTTCTTCCTCCAATTTCATGGAGTTTAATCTTTACTATAAGTCATAGTGATTCATTTAACAATGGCAATTCCTTTTTTCTATCTTGGTGACTTTCTTATACCTCTGTTAAAAGATATCAGCAAGGATGATTGAAAATTGATATTCTCTTTTGTCTCTTTCTATAGGTTTCTTCATATAAACAATGAAAATTGATTTTAATTGCACTGCAACATTACTACTCTTGCACCTCTCTGCCCACAACTCATAACACTTTTGAAATGGTTGAATTCATTACATTTGGTTCTTTAGTAAACAAATTTTTTATTTCTGCCACTATTATTTGTAGGATTTTTTGCATTAAGACAGTCAGATACATATACATTTATTAAGCTTCTTATGAAGTGTGTTCCATTTCTCAAAGCTTTCTTCCTCCTATTTTATGAAGATTAATATTTTACCGTAAGTCATAGTAATTCATGTATCCCTTGCAATTTCTTTTCGCTATTGTTGTAAAAAAAAATTAACTTTGTTAAAAATTCCAGTGAGGATGATTGAAAATTTATCTTCTCTTTTGTCCCTTTTTACAGGTTTCTTCATATACTTTTTGGGAAAATTGCTTGTGGATTGTGTTATATTTGATAGCATACAACAATAAATATGTGATTACTAATAAGGAACCAATGATGATGTTTGTTAAAAGAACCAAACAAATTGCTCTCTTGCTTGCCATAGTTTGTATATTATTTTGATTGTTTTTTCTTAGGTACAAACATTTTGTATGGATTGAGGTATACATATTATCGTTTCTATTGAAGAAAATTACTGAATTTTTTTCCAGCAGATAATGAAGAAAAACACAAATACAAAGGCTCGAAAAAAAGCTCATAAGAAAAACTTTATTTATTAT